TGATCTGTAGGTGATATAGAGTAAATTTGTATCTGCATGTATATTTATGTTTGTATTATGTAACTATACATGCATGTCTGCGTGTGTACAGTTATATATACATGTATGGGTATTTATGTATTTATGCATTTATTGGTTTCAGAATCTGAATGTAAACTTAGAGACAGGACTGGATAAGCCTTTACTTTAACCCTTTCAAACATTTTTGTTTTGTTTCCAGAATATTTTGATGGAAATATTTACCTTTTTGAATGTTTTTTGTTTGTTTGTTTGTTTGTTTGTTTTTGTCGATATTTTAACTGTTCGAAATGAATTAAAGAAAACAAAAACTTTTATAAAGTCGAGGACCAAACAACCAAAATGCTGTGCTGAATCATTCTATAGGCTGAGATTAAAGGAACTTTTGGTAGTTTATTGTCTGTTCGTCTCCGTTTCACTGATTTGATCTATTAAAGTCCAGTCAAGAGTGTCACAAATCTCCAAGCAGCACACAAGTAACTACCAAACTGAGAGGAAAATACAAGGAATACAAAATTAATTTGTGTAAAAATGAATCAGATAAAAATATGTTAATCCAGCTGTTAATTTGTTAATCTGTGTGTTTGCATATTAAGCTTTGATCTGTAGGTGATATAGAGTAAATTTGTATCTGCAGGTATATTTATGTTTGTATATGTAAATATACATGCATGTCTGCGTGTGTACAGTTATATATATATATATATGTATGGGTATTTATGTATTTATGCATATATTGGTTTCAGAATCTGAATGTAAACTTAGGGACAGGACTGGATAAGCCTTTACTTTAACCCTTTCAAACATTTTTGTTTTGTTTCCAGAATATTTTGATGGAAATATTTACCTTTTTGAATGTTTTTTGTTTGTTTGTTTGTTTGTTTGTTTTTGTCGATATTTTAACTGTTCGAAATGAATTAAAGAAAACAAAAACTTTTATAAAGTCGAGGACCAAACAACCAAAATGCTGTGCCGAATCATTCTATAGGCTGAGATTAAAGGAACTTTTGGTAGTTTATTGTCTGTTTGTCTCCGTTTCACTGATTTGATCTATTAAAGTCCAGTCAAGAGTGTCACAAATCTCCAAGCAGCACACAAGTAACTACCAAACTGAGAGGAAAATACAATTTATTGCATTAAGCTCAAACATATTACATGGATTAAAAATATAATTAATTCTATTATTAAAAAGTGGATTTTACGAACAAAAATGTATAACATTTACAAGTTATTGAAGTAATACAATATGAAATTACTGTTTTCCACGCAACAACACAAGTTAAAGCATTTTAATTATCATATACTGAGTAAAAAATAACTTGAAACTAAACTGACAGTAACAACATTGACCTAATTTTAAATGACCTTTATTTAAACTGCAGGAACTATAACAGAAAATAAACAGATGGACACAGACACACAGACAGACAGGCAGACAGACAGACAGACAGACACACACACAGACAGACACACAGACAGACAGACAAACACACACACAGACATACTGCCATACGACAGACAAACAGAGACAGACAGATAGACAGAGAGACAGACAGACAG